AAAAAAAAAAAAAAAAAGAAAGAAAAGAAAAATTCTCTTTCAATGGGAAAATGCAGTGATTGAAACCAATAAAAGATTTGTCATGCTGTCATTTTTTAGGGAGGTAGCTGTTGCTAGGTGGCCAGTGTGGAAGTTTTGAGAGTTGCACTGACTTTGAATGGAGTTGATCACTTACTAAGACAGTGAGTTAAACTGGGGATCTGGCTTGGAAATGGTTTTGTACAGTGGCATTGCATTGCAGCAATGTCGGGGACAGAGTAGGTAGTAGAAGGGCAGTGTAATCAGCTGGTGAAGAGTCTAAACGTAAAGTCTTTATTACAGTTTACTACATTTTGCCATGTGTAATGCACACGTTTTTGCCCAAATTTTTGAGGGAAAAATAAGGACACACATTGTACGTGGGTAGTATGGCTCAGAAGCAGGGGAACCAGGTGGCCTCCCTAGGTTGGCACACTCTGCTGCTGGGCCCACCAGGGTCACACAGGCTTTCTGTCTGGGAGGATCCAGGATCCTGTGGGAACGGACTAGAGTGGCCTCCTCTGAGTGCTGTGATCAGGAGTGTGGCTGGGGCTGGTGAGGCAGGCGGTGGCTGCACAGGCCCCAGGGACCTGCCTGGCTGCCCACAGGCTCAGCAGCCTCAGAAGCTCCCACCCCACCAGCCAAGGGAAGGATGGAAGAGAGGGAAGGGGCAGCTTCACGATGCAGGCGGCTGTGGGAAGGCAGCGCTATCTGCACATTGTCCAAGGGAGCCTTAGCCCTCCACAGAAGTATCTTTCCTGGCTGAGAGCCAGCCACTTTCCTGAGGGGCATTTTCCTGAAAGTTTTGGTCAAAAATAGGAGTTCATATTATATACAGGAGTGCATTACACATGGCAAGGTGTGGTACTTATTTAGTAAGGGCACTCAGTGAAAGAGTCCCATTCTGGGCAGGGTGCAGGGTGGGGAGCAGCGGATTCTTACTTAGGTGGGGCAGCCCCCCACCCCTGGTTGGATGACTTCACATGGCTGCTTACTTGTTAAGCCTCATCTTAAAAGTGGGGATGATAATTGAGCCCAACTCCTAGGATTCTTGTGAAAATTAAATAAGACAATCGTGAAAGGTACATAGTAAACATTCAGTGAATGTTGAGCTTTTATTATTTTTATTATTCATCATTAGCACAGAGTTCACAATCTGATAAGATTTATGTAGAGCTAGATAGTGTTATGGTGAATCTCCCTCTCAGAGAATCATACATCAGACACTTGAACTATCGTACATGTTAAATTAATGAACTTTTACTGTTTGAAAATCCAGTTTCATAGTTCTTGCTGAAGAATATTCATTGGGCGGCCACTCCGAGGGTACCCAGGTTAAGCTGTGAGGCATGTAGTTTGGGCTGACTTTGGCCACATGAGCCTACCAGATATGCCCACCAGCTGTGAGGCCCGCCAGATGTGGTGCTGATTAATGTCATGCTTCTGGGGACAGCCAGCTACAGTGTGAAACCCATCCTGATGGGCAAGGTCCTTTGTGAATACTGCTGGTTCCTCAGGATAAGACCCAGTTAGAGCACATTACTGCTCTTCCTAGAATAGGTATTTACAGTCTGTTTTGTAAAAGCATTTAGAAAACATTATCTGTTCTTTCCAGAATATTTCACTTTCTCTGTCACCCACCCTGCCTTTATCTGCAAGAGCAGCCTCCCCACCTCTCAGTCTGCCCTGTTGGAGGAACTCCCAGACTCCAGGCAACCTTCAGACCCTGGACAGGTGAAGAGGAAATGTGAGAAGCTGGTTGATCTGTAGCACTGGGGGATCTTGCTATGGCAGTCTGATAATCGTATTGTCTCAAAAAAGATTAGAAAGCAATTTCCCCTGGCTCGCTAACTCTCCACCCAGATCACCAGGAGTTGCTTAATGGACTTGATGGCATTGTGTTACTTGGCAGTTTGAGTGGGAAGCACATAATCTTTGAACAATCAGTCATTTGGAGTTTGCTTAGAGGGTCACATCCTCTGGTGTGTTTTAACTGCTCCTCACCATGTTTATGCAAGATAGCGTAACATCAGTGGCCTGGAGGGAAGGAGCGCTGAAAATGATGCCGTGTAAACCTCCTCCTTCCTCTGTTTGCAGTCTCTGCCAGAGACTGAGTCAGCCCACCTTCCCGTGCACGTTCGTGCTTCTCTCGCCTCACAGCACTCTACTTCTGGCCTTGGTAATGAGTTCCATTATTTCAGAGTGCCTTGGGTCAGTGCAGGGGGAATGCCAGCCATGTGAACATCCTCGTATGTGTGACATAAACTCCTGTCTTTTCCTTCACTTTCATCTACGTGTTTCTTATGGTAGTTTTGTGTCATGTCCTTAGTTGCAGCCGCTGCTAATGCCTTGGGCAGTCACATCATCCTGGTTTTCTTATTACTCGACACTTACGTCGTGTATTCTCAGTGTCGTCATACAAGTTATGTGTAATCCTATGAAAAGGCAAGGAAGCGAGACCAGGGAACTTTAGGAAACTCAGCTTTATCATTTTACAAAGGCCCTTGAAATTGTGTGATATGGATACCTTTGAAATACAGGAAAGGAAAGATGCAAGAGGATAAGAGAAGATAGAGGAGGGAGTCGGTGAAGTGACAGAAAGAAGCACAAGGATATGCAGCAGATGCCATTTAGGTGCCAAGAGCAATGAACTAGTTAGTTCATTAGTCAAGGTCTGGCTCTGTCTCCCAGGCTGGAGTGCAGTGGTGTGGTCAAAGCTCAGTGCAGCCTCAAACTCCTGGGCTTAAGTGATCCTCTTGCCTCCTCCTTCCAAGTAGCTGGGACTACAGGTGTGTGTCACCTCACCTGGCCAAGAACAATTACTTTAAATCCCACTTGGTGCCTTCCAGTTAAGCATTGTATATAAAATGACAAGGATCATGTTAATCATTTGGTATCAGTGAACCTTTATCACACAGCCAGAGCTCTTGCAGTTATTTATATAAAGTAGTGGCCTGGGGGCTGAGGGAACAGATGACAATTCCCTCAGGCTGCAAGAGAATGGGATCTACTTCCAGCTTGACCGTTTGCTAGGTGAGACTTTGGGCACGTCAGTTACCCTTCAGAGTCTCTTGTTTTCTCATCTGAAAAAGGGTTTAAATGAGAAAAAAAAAAAAGTAAAATGTCTACCATGGTGTCTAATATGCAAGAAGAGATCATACTTCAGTAATAAGTGTTAGTTTTCCCCTCCTGTCTCTTGAGCCTCTCCTGTCCCAGCCAAGAGCAGAGAACCCTGGGTTTTAAAAACGATAGTGCTGGGCGGCACCTGTGGCTCAGTGAGTAGGGCACTGGCCCCATATACCAAGGGTGGTGGTTTGAACCCGGCCTCAGCCAAACTGCAACAAAAAATAGCCAGGCACTGTGGCCAGCGCCTGTAGTCCCAGCTACTCGGGAGGCTATGCAAGAGAATTGCCTGAGCCCAAGAGCTGGAGGTTGCTGTGAGCTGTGATGTCATGGCACTCTACTGAGGGCAACAAAGTGAGACTCTGTCTCTAAAAAAGAAAAAAAAAACAACAAAAAACCATTGTGCTAAGTGTGCGGGTGAGGTCTGATCCCAGAAAATTGTGACCAGAAGTGCATATACCAGCTGAAAAGCGGATCTAAGAAATATTCTCAGCTTACTTATGATCTCAGCACCACAGGAAATTAGGTTAACTGTTTCTCTTCTGGGCATGGCATTATGTTTGGTGACTCAAAGGAATCTGTACGAATCTTTCTTCTCCCCACATGTTTTTCCTAACAGCCCCTCACAAATACTACATTGGATTTCGGTACGTTCATCCTTTAACAGAAGAAGCAATTGAAGAGATGGAGAGAGACGGCTTAGAACGGGCTATTGCTTTCACGCAGTACCCACAGTACAGCTGCTCCACCACAGGTAAGGGCATCCCTCTGACAACAGGAAGGTAGGTACGGCCCAGGCAAAAATAGCCGGGGAGCCTGAGTGCTGAAGGAAAGAATAAGTGATTTGCAATTTGAATGGCAAATCTGTCCTGTTTCTTTTAAGTCCATCTGAAATCTCATGGTTCTTCTGTCCCTGGAGTTACTGGTGGTCGGCTGGGAATTACCAATTGGTGGGTGGAAGGCGGTGGCTGTGAGTGTTCAGTGCTACAACGCCATGGTAAAAGGATCAGGAATGAACCTGAGGCCGCTTTCTAGGTTTGGATACTAGAACTTCTTTTTTTAGCTACCCTGATTTTCTTATTCATGGAGCAAAGCAGATACTGTTTCCGTTTTGAAAGCAGAGATGCCCATGTTACCTGTGAAGTGCTGATTGACACCCAGTACTCTTTGTTGTGCTTCAATTATGGGTTTGTGGCTGGTAAAACTCAAGCGTAGTTTGAGGTTCCTGTTGCAAACCCCTCTCCGTGGTCTTGATTTTGGAAAATGTTTCGGCTCATTGTATCCTAAATATGTCATGGGAACTGGAGAATAAATAATCCATTTGACAGTTTGTCATTAATTGTAGGCAAAGCTTCCACTGTCTCCTTCAGATACATTTATTTGCATTCTGTCCCAAGGATTGCTGTCAGCACGTTTTTACTCTCAAATTGCTTCTGGGTATTAATGTATATTATTTTTATAACTATAAGGTGTAAGGAGAAACAAAAAGCTACTGGAAGAAATATTCAAAACTTGTTATCTGCCTTAAATATTTGTTCAGAGCATCTTTTAAAAAGCCTGAGTTCTCAGATACTCTAAAGAGTTGGAAGTGTCATTTCTTTGGGAAATGTACCACTACGACTTCAGACTATCTGGTAATATGTTATTGGAGAAGGAGTCAGATCTTATGAATTTTGAAGCAATGCTTTTGCCTTGCTTTAAAAAACAAACCTCAACATATAAATATCCACTCTCAAAATTGAAAAGTTAAGAAGATTGTTTTTTATATGACAAAAGATTGACCATGGTTTTCATTTTGCAGTTGGCTCTAATGGTGTGTTCAAGACTTGAACGCATGCTCAGTTTTTCTCTGGTATCTCTCATGTATAAAGATAGGTACATCTTTACTCCTGAGCCGTGAAAGCCTTTGGAAAGCACATTAATTTTTTGTGGCCACTAGAGTATTGTTTACCTCTTGTGTCTTTTAGACATGTACTTTTGTGGCAGAGCCAGTGTATTCTATCACAAACAAATTTCTCAGTTATATTTTCTCCTTCTTAACAACTTCTGGTAGTTTACTGAATATTTCCAAGCTACCTGAATGAGCTGATGTAGCTTCCAGACACCCTTTTGCACATCTGAAAATGATATACACCTGTGAAATGTGGTTTCCAATGTGAATATGGTGGTGACTACATTGTGATTTTCGGAGAGGTTGTTTTGAACCTTGAATGGAGTCAATTTGGATTCTTCTGATTCACTGTATTCTACTCACCAAAATCGAAAACTGTTTATTTTTTTGAAAGTTGAGTCTTAGCCTAAGGGTATATTTGATTTAAAATATGGCTCTGTCCTGGCTAACATTTTAAATTGGAAACCTAACTAATACAGTAGAGCTTCCATAGTTGACCATCTCCCTCGATTGACTACCTCCTTAGGTTGACCCAAGTTTCATAGACTGGCCATGCGCCACACGTATGTATCAGTACAGCAAGCCTAGTTCCTTATGATGACCACCCGTGTATGTTGACCCAGTAGGTTACAGTCCCTTGGGTGGCCAACTTACAGAGGTTCTACTCTAGTTCTTACAGTTAGAGAACCCCATGGATCAATGATGAGAAACAGGGAAGTGTTTTAGGCTTTGCCCTGTCTTGAAATTGAGAATGAGGCCCCAGTTAGAATTGGTTTCATAGGCTCGGTGCCTATAGCTCAACCGGCTAAGGCGCCAGCCATGTACACACCTAAGGTGGCGGGTTCGAATCCCCAGCCCAGACCCGCCAAACAACAATGACAGCTGCAACCAAAAAATAGCCGGGCGTTGTGGCGGGCGCCTGTGGTCCCAGCTACCTGGGAGGCGGAGGCAGGAGACTCGCTGGAGCCCAGGAGTTGGAGGTTGCTGTGAGCTGTAATGCCACGGCACTCTACCCAGGGGGACAGCTTGAGGCTCTGTCTCAAAAAAAAAAAGAATTGGTTTCATAGGACTAACAGTTGGCCTCAGTGCCAGCTCCTCTAGACCAGGAAAAATTTGTATTGTATTGGCACCTCTGTCTGTCTTCCTTTAGGCTTTGAATTTTCATGATTTTCATTACTTAGAAGTATAAATTTTATTAGATTACCTGTTAGGATTTGGTGTCCATGTGACTCATCCTAGGGGTTAAGAATGCTCATAAAACCTCTATCAGTGACCCTCCTCATTATGAACCCATTAAAAAGGATGGTTATAAACCTTTTGTTGTAACATGGGAAATATTTATCTCATCGTAATAACATAATAAGTAGAAATTATCAAAATACTCAGGATGCAGAATTGCATATGTTCTAAAAGTATAACTTTGTAAAACAAAACATCTCTAAAGAAAAATGACTGAAAAGAAGTATGCTAGAATGAAATGACAGCTGTATTAGTATGCGGGGATAATGGCGATTTCTTTTTTTCTTTCTTCCCATCCCCTACATTTTCTGCAATAAAGTTGCTCATGTTCATGACTGGAGAAAAAAAAATAACATAACTTGGTTCCTGCAAATAATGACTGCTTATAATTCATAAATTCACAGCTATCTTGTTTCTGTCTAGACATGGCCTCAATAATCTTTGCAAGTCCATTGAAATTGATTACATTTTAGTGATCTTCATCTGCAGGGCTGCTAAATCTATATGCATTTTAGAGTACTGAAATGATTGTAATTAGACTGATTCAGGCTGGAAGGAGTTGCTTGCTTTGAACTTATAATTACTGCCTTTTCTAGTTAGTTTTTTATCTTCACCGTAATTGAAATGCATCTACTAAGGGGCCCCTGTGTATTTCAGGCAGCAGCTTAAATGCCATTTACAGATACTATAATGAAGTGGGGCGGAAGCCCGGGATGAAGTGGAGCACCATTGACAGGTGGCCCACACATCACCTCCTCATCCAGGTAAGCTGGCACCTGCCAGTGCCCGGGGTGAATCAGGTTCTTGTCTCTGCAGGGTTTGTGAGTGTCTTTCCGAGCCTTGACATTCTCTTGCTTAAATTGTGTGCTGAGGATTAAGAGAAAAGTATTAGAGTCTTGATTTATTATTAAAGGAGAAAATAAATTAATGACATTAAAGTAGTTAGACTCTTCTCTTTCTTCAGCTTAATGCTATTAGCCTCAATCCATAACAAAATGATATTTTGAGTTGTGTGTTTCCCAGTGGCCAAAGAATACAAAGATTGTATGTGATATTTCAGCTAACTGATGTTTGTAGCTTGAATGACCAGCAAATTAAATACTCTATTTTCTACATCATTTACAATGTCAAAAGATTACAAAATTTTAAAGATAATATATCTACATGTTCTGAGACATGAAAATAAATTTAGCATTTCAGTTGAGGGAGTTTAAGGTATTAAAAGAAATTTCAGCTTCTATGCAATTTTATATTTATAATATTTATATTAATAGATGCTTGATTTTTTTTTTTTTTGAGAAGAAGTCTCATTTTGTCACCCGTGGTAGAGTGCTATAGTGTCCTAGCTCACAGCAACATCAAACTCTTGGGCTTGAGCAATCCTCTTGCCTCAGCCTCCCGAGTAGGTGGGACTACGGGCACCTGCCACATTAATTTTCTGTGGCCATTAGAGTATAGTTTAGTGTATTGTTTAGTAGTGCCTTTTGGATATGTACTTTTGCTTGGCTATGTTTTTAGAGACAGGGTCTCCCTCTTGCTCAGGCTGGTCTCAAACTCATGAGCTCAAGCAATCCACCCACCTTGGCCTTCTGGAGTGCTAGGATTACAGGCATGAGCCCAGCTATAGATGCACCCAGTGGTAGATGCTTGATTTTAGGAGAATGAGGTAAAACTAATTCTAAAGCTGGTACCTTTGAACTGGTGTTATTGTATTGGTATCCTTCTGTCAAATATTAGAAGGAAATTGGTAAAATATTGCCTTAAAGCATGCAAATAGTCTTTTTCTGCTAGTAGAAGTTTCTGCTTTTGAGTTATTTTAGGTAGGAGAAATATTAAAGGATTTAAATTTCATTTAGTGTGAAAATTCTCTGACTTCTGGCAAAAGACCCGGTTAACACTTCTTAAAAAGCCTGTTGTCAGTTAAATGTATAACCACTAGATGGTGCTAGACATCATTAAAATCAGGCCAGTTCTCCCCAGAGCAGACGGTATTCCTTAGACATAGAAAGGGTTAACACTTGGGCTGAAATCTTGTTTTAAGTAAAGAGGAAAGAAGGTGCCTACTCTTAGGAGTGGGTGTATTTGTGGTCCATGGGCTGCTGTGCTGCAGGGTCCAGCCAGAACTGCCCGACCCACCTGTCCTGTTTGGTTTTGCTCTTGGAGGCCTGTGATGGGAAAGGGCGGGGGTGGGGGGGAGTGTTCCAGGTCAGCTCTGACATGTGGTAGCAGGGAACAGAGGGGTCTGCACAGCATCTGCCTGCCCTGATCGAGTGAGTAATTAGATTTGCATTAAAATTCAGCCCTTTGAAAAGGGGGGAAGTAGAAAGATGGAAAGGTCTCTTAACTGAGGAAGTCTGTTCATCAAATGAAAGGGAATTTTCAAGGCATTTATCTGCCCGCCTAGATGGAGTGATTGAAGGCTCTGAAGAGTCCGGTGCCTCTTTCATTCTGCAGAGGAGTTGTGCATAGAAAATGCCACAGATGGGTTTTAGGTGGTTTCTCCTAAAGGTTTGAAGATGGCTTAGTGACTGCTGCAGCCAGAGCAAACTATGTTTCCACTTGCAATCTTGCAAGCTGAGAAAAGATGTGAAATTTTTGGAAAACAGAAAACAAAAGCCTAAACTAAAACTATAGTTTAAAACTAAAAGTACTTTTTATCCACATTTCTATTTGTTAAAGGTAGTATTTATTCCAAATAGCCATCTTTAAATACTATCTTTGGTAGTACTTATTCCAAATAGCTTGTCTTTCTAATACTCCTATTAAATAATTAGACTAAATTTATGTTCTAAGCTCCTATATAGGCTTTGCAGTGGGTTTCCTTATCTAGGCTGTTGTCTACAAATAATCCTTTCTGAACAGCCTTAGTTTCCAAACACTGCAAAGTGCAGAAAAGATTGTTTTTGTATGTATCTAATCCTACCTCATTTCCTCTATAGGTAAATAATAAACTCTGAAAAGGGAACCTAACTCTAGATACCACTTTGTTCTTTAGGGCATTTATTTACCAATTTTGGAGAGTTCTGGAACGATTAATAATAGCTTAATATTTATTAGCAAAGAGTTTGCTCATCTTTTTTTTTTTGAGACAGAGCCTTAAGCTGTCCCCCTGGATAGAGTGCTGTGGCATCACAGCTCACAGCAACCTCCAACTCCTGGGCTCAAGCAAGGCTCCTACCTCAGCCTCCTGAGTAGCTGGGACCACAGGCACCTGCCACAACGCCCGACTATTTTTTGGTTGCAGCTGTCATTGTTGTTTGGCAGGCCCAGGCTGGATTCGAACCCGCCACCTTGGGTGTACATGGCTGGCGCCTTAGCCATTTGAGCCACAGGCACTGAGCTGAGTTTGCTCATCTTATTGTATGGACTGACCACTGATACATCAAAATACCAACAAGTGCAGATGGATGTGGTTGTGATAAATTGTCCTTTATGATTTTTCAAACTTCTTTATTTAGAAATAATTTCAGACATGTGGAGAGTTACAAGATTATGAATACTATAAGGAACTCTCATTTACTCATACTCACATAGCATTAACATTTATCTCACTTGTGTTACCGTTTACGTGCTATGTGTTTGTATATAAATGATTTTTTTCCTGAATCATTTTAAAATAAGCTATGTTTATTCTCTACATCTAAATACTCAAGTGTGTTTTCCTAAGCTCAGGAGTATTCTCTTACATAACCACAATACAACATCCAACTTCAGTCAATTTAACATTGATACTGACTTTTTATCTAATTGATATTCCAATTCATATTCCAATTTTGGCAGCTGACCCATTAACGTCCTTCGTAGCATTTTTTTTTAATAAATTAATGACAAAGAATGATGAAAGTGTAAGATGAAAGAAGGTCTCTTCAGATCTTGTATTTCAGCACCTATCGGGGTGAATCAGAAAGTGCCAGCTAGACAAGGGGAGTTCCCTGGTCTGGTGGACAGAGGTTTGGAGGAGGAGGCGAGACTGTCTCCTAGCCCCGGCCTCACAGATGTGACTGAGTGGGCCCCCACGTCTACCACATCTTTTCGCCCTCTGTGAATTTAGTGGGGGTTGCACAACCTGTCATCTGTTGTTGCGAAGGGTGTTGCTAAGATTGACTCTGTAAGGATCACGAGCTCAGAAGAGAACGTTGTAAAAATAGAAGAGTATTTGCTTCTTTCTCTGCTGTTTCTGACTAATGTATTTTAATGTGATATGCCTGAAAGCCCAACTAAGGAAGATTTAGAAAGACCCTGTAAGCTGTTTTCCTGCTAACAGAGCAAATGAGAGGTCTTAAAACAACTTCTCCTTCCCATCTGGGTTTCCTTTCCATCTGGAAGTGTGCCCTGTTCTTCCCGAGGGGAAGCCGATCTGCAGCATTCATTTGCAGGGAGCCATTAGCGAGCTTTAGATGTTTCCCATCAAATTCCCCAGGCCCCTGAATCCGTTATGATCCATTTTGATGATGAACCGAAGCAAAGACACTGTACTGTTTGTGATTTTTTTTTTTTAAAGGAGTTCTGATTTTAGAGGATTGCTCTGAGATTTGGGATACAGCTCTCATTTTTAAAATCCTTTCTTTTCCTTCCATGGCTTTCTTCCCACACCCTCCTTGCTTGGTATCCCCACAGTGCTTTGTTGACCACATTCTGAAAGAACTGGACCATTTCCCACTTGAGAAGAGAAGCGAGGTGGTCATTCTCTTTTCCGCTCACTCACTGCCAATGTCTGTAAGTAAGAACATTTTGTCGGATGACCTAGTGGTAGAGGATCAGGTTGTTTTGTTTTCTAAATGTTTAAAAAGGATCTAGCTTCCGTGAGGTCCATGAGCCCACTGCAAGATTGAATTCTAAAATCCCACTTGGTATTAACTTACATAGGCCCACTTCCGGAAACCTCATAATAATTAATTCAAATTATACTACTGTAAATAGATCTTTTCTTAATATTGTAAGTAGATCTTTTTCTCTTATTTTAAAAATTGATAACCTGCATATATAATCACATATAAGAATTTCTAATAAGTGGGACAGTTAAGGGGAGGCTGCTTTTAAACCCTGTTGGGGGAGCTTGCTCTGATGCTTCGCTATATTGAATTGTAGGCCTCCATTCACGCTAAGCACTTTATTTTTTTATTATTTATTTATTTTATTAAGTTAAATACACATAGATCATGAATACATTCATGCATATGTGGGGTACATTTTAATCTCATTCTTTTGTCCTCAAGACTTGATAAGGAGCTATTTGAATGCCAGGAAGCTAAGTTTTCAATTTGCTAAGACTAGGGACCATATTGGACCATATCTTGGCAGGAGAATGTAGAGTGCACCAAGCTGTCCTCTGGTCACTCCTCAGCTTGTCATCTTATACTAGGTTGTTATTTAAATACTGCAATCCTAGCTGTTGTATTTTTGGAAACAGGAATGATCAAACTAGTGTGCTGTGTGGGACAGAGTGCTTAGAATAAGTAACTGATTTCGGCTGGGCGCCTATAGCTCAACCGGCTAAGGCGCCAGCCACGTACACCTAAGGTGGCGGGTTCGAATCCCCAGCCTGGACCCGCCAAACAACAATGATGGCTGCAACCAAAAAATAGCCGGGCGTTGTGGCGGGCGCCTGTGGTCCCAGCTACTTGGGAGGCGGAGGCAGGAGACTCGCTGGAGCCCAGGAGTTGGAGGTTGCTGTGAGCTGTAATGCCATGGCACTCTACCCAGGGGGACAGCTTGAGGCTCTGTCTCAAAAAAAAAAAAAAAAAAGTAACTGATTTCATCAGCTCAGAACTAGCACTGTGTCCAAAAAGCACTGCTTTCCCAGCCAGAGAGGTAGAGAATTACATTTTTCTAGATGCAATTAAGGGTTTTTTCTTTTTTTTTGAGACAGAGTCTCACTACGTTGCCCTCGGTAGAGTGCTGTGGCATCACAGCTGACAGCAACATCCAACTCCTGGGCTTAGGTGATTCACTTGCCTCAGCCTCCCAAGTGACTGGGACTATAGGAGCCCACCACAATGCCTGGCTATTTTATGTTACAGTTTGGCCAGGGTGGGGTTTAAACCCACCACCCTCCGTATATGGGGTCGGCGCCCTACCCACTGAGCCACAGGTGCCATCCAGTAATTAAAACCCTCATGGTTAGTGGAGTTGATCTGAGTGTCTGGGGCCACTCTTCTAACTGGGCAGTGACGCCGCCTACCGGTCCGGAGGTCATGCCCTGGCAGCCTCCCCCCTCTCATCTCAGCTGGGCAGCTGCTATTTCGGCAGTGTGTGGCTCTGGAGACAAGTTACTGTCTTGTGGAAGCCTGCCTGTTTTATTTTAATGGCTTCCTCTTCTCTTTTTCTGGTATGCGAATCCCCCTGGCATGTGTGTCCTCCGGCCTCCCCCTCATCCTGTGTGTGTTGAGAGCCTGTCAGAGGTGGCAGAGAGGCAGCTCCTGTGAGTAGCATGAACATAGAATTTTACATCATCTTACGGACCATAGAGATGATTGAGTGCACTGTTCTCCTCTGGGTGATGAAGAAATGGAACCAAGCAAGTCTGGGGATGGAGCACAGGTCACATGTCCATCATTAGTGCGGGAGACAGGAAGGCAGGGCGTCAGGCTCACACCACATCACCACACAGCCAGAGGCTCTTGGAGCCCTTTGCAGTGTCGATGATTAAACTTTCATTGTGCCTCTGCTGCAGGTGGTCAACAGAGGGGACCCCTATCCTCAGGAAGTAGGTGCCACTGTCCACAAAGTCATGGAAACACTGGGCTACTGCAACCCCTACCGACTGGTTTGGCAATCCAAGGTAGGTAGCTTCCATACTTTTGTGGGCAGTCAGCTCTCTTGAGAAATTTTTATTTCTGGATTTAGGTATAAAATGTCTGTATTTAGCTCTCTCTCTTTTTTTTTTTGGAGGTAGTCTCACTCTGTCACCTGGGCTAGAGTGCCATGGCCTGAGCCTAGCTCATAGCATCCTCAAACTCCTGGGCTCAAGTGATTCTCCTGCTTCAGCCTCCCAAGTAGCTGAGACTACAAGCACCCACCACAGTACCCAGCTAATTTTTCTGTTTTTAGTAGAGACAGGATTTCACTTTGCTCAGGCTGGTCTCAAATTCCCAAGCTCAAGGCATCTTCCCACTTCAGCCTCCCAGAGTGATGGGATTATAGGCATGAGCTACCACACCCTGGACTTAGCTCTTTGACATACGCAGGCTGTTCAGTAACCTACCTGCTCACTGAGGACAGAGAGAACGATGTGAGCAAGGAAGAAAGAAGAGAAGACACAGGGACTCATTGAATTCCATTGGTTTAATATTGTATTTTTATAATCATTGTGATAACAAAAACATTTATACTGGGCCCACTTCTGGAAGGACTGAAGCTTCAGATAGAAATACCAAGACCCATTCAAGCAGGTGTGCGGGTGGAGAGAGTGGCGCTCATCCTTACTGGGCAGGGGTGTGCCGGGGCTGGGGCGGTGCATGTGCTGTGGCCTCACGATTCGTCCCCCTCTCTCACAGGTGGGTCCGATGCCCTGGTTGGGTCCGCAAACAGACAAATCTATCAAAGGGCTTTGTGAGAGAGGGTGGAAGAATATCCTTTTGGTTCCAATAGCGTTTACCAGTGATCACATCGAAACGCTGTACGAACTGGACATCGAGTACTCCAAAGTGCTAGCCAATGAGGTAAATGCACCCGTCTGGGTTATTAATGCCATTGTGATTTGTTTTTAGAGGAACTTTTCTCTGCAACTATCTAATTATAGCACAGAAATATCGTTTCCTATATATGCTTGCCTGCATCCTGTCCTTGTTCGGGATAATATATTGTCTGAGGAGTAATCTCAGCTCAGTCTACTCCATGTCAGTGGTGGGAGAGACACCTGTGCTTCTGTTAAATCAGGTGGCCCAGGGATCACAGCAGCCAACATCATTTCATTTAGTTTTCATTACTGTGCTACTTGAAAATAATAACAGCCACATTCTTTAAGAAAAAGAATTGTGATCTCACCAATTCTAAGAAAAAAAATTTTGATGGTCTATAATTTCTTTTCTTCACCTAATAGTGTGCTTTACTTGGGGCTAATAATAACGGGTTCTTGTTGGGTTTCAAAGCATCCAGGAGTCATTGTCGTTTGAGAAAAGAGCATGGGATGCACACAGAAGCAGTGTGGATTGTAATTTCCTGGACCTTTTATTTACTTAACCTAATTAGCTGTTTGCTACTGTGTTGTGGTCAGTCTGATTATTGAAATAAGAAATACTATTCTTGGTGTCGTGGGAGGTAAGATGGATGTGAATTGTCATTCAGGGAGAAGAGAAACTATTGTTCACCTCTCTCGTGGCTTCTGAGTGCCAGCCTCAAACTGGCATCCAATTTCTAACTTTTTTTTATGGAAGTGTAGATGGGTTGGGGCCCAGGGACCCTCTTCTCCCTTTCACTTTCTGTCAGAGCTCCTGCCCTGGTCATCCCATATGTGTTTGGTGGAGGCCCGCCCTGCGGGACAGTTCCCCTTCTATGGCATCTGCAGGTGCGTGGCAGATAGGGAGTAGATGGGGGCAGAACGTGCACTAATACCTGAGCTGTTCATATGACTAAACTGAGGTTATTCTGTGATAATCAAATAAGATTATCAGTGACTGATAAACTAGTCCATGTAGGGTATAAAGAACACTGCGTACCTACAATTTATTTTATTATTTTGATGGGAGAATATAACACAACGAAAACAACTTTAAAAGGTTTTCAGGCTCAGCGCCTATGGCTCAAGCGGCTAAGGTACCAGCCACATACACCTGAGCTGGCGGGTTTGAACAACAATGATGGCTGCAACCAAAAAATAGCCAGGCGTTGTGGCGGGCACCTGTCGTGCCAGCTACTTGGGAGGTGGAGGCAGGAGACTCGCTTGAGCCCAGGACTTGGAGGTTGCTGTGAGCTTTGATGCCACGGCACTCTACCTAGGGCTACAACTTGAGGCTCTGTCTCAAAAAAAAAAAAGGTTTTCAAATTTTTTCTCATAATAGAAATGACTTTATTGATTTTTGAGACTTTTTTTTTTTTTTGAGACATAGTCTTGCTGTGTTGCCCTGGCTAGAGTGTGGTGGAATAATCATAGTTCTCCACAACCTCAAACTCCTGAACTCAAGCAATCCTCCTGCCTCAGCCTCCTGAGTAGCTGGGACTAGGACTGCAGGCGCTTGCTGTCATACCCAGCTAATTTTTTCTATTTTTGGCAGAATGGGGTCTTCTTCTTCTTTTTTTTGCAGTTTTTGGCCAGGGCCAGGTTTGAACCCGCCACCTCCGGTATATGGGGCCAGTGCCCTACTCCTTTGAGCCACAGGCACTGCCCTGGGGTCTTATTCTTGTTAAGGCTGGTCTCAAGTTCTTGACCTCAAGAGAACCTCCCATCTGAGCCCCCAGAGGGCAAAGATTACAGATATAGAGCCACCTTGCCAACCACTTTATTGCTTTTGATGATAAAAATAATAAAGATCTCAGGCAGTTCAGAGAATTATAACATGGAGTAGAACTATAACATAGAACACACTCATGATCTTACCTCTTGGAGGTAACATCTGTTAATATTTAGATAAAAATAGGTTCCCTTTTTCTGCTAAATGTGCATGTATTTTAATAAACCTGATATTCTACACATTTAACAAAAATGGTATTTTTTCTTACTGTTTGATAATTTTTTTTTCTTAAAAGTATATTATGGCTTGGCACCTGTGGCTCAAGTGGCTAAGGCGCCAGCCACATATACCTGAGCTGGCGGGTTCGAATCCAGCCC